ACTTGCAGAGTTCATACTATCAACCTTAATAGTTTTGAATAAAATCTGTCAATAACAAACAGCCATCAAACAAATCAGGTTTAACTAAGGTCAGTCATGATATACCAGTATAAGTTATACAGGGATACAGATTAAGTTAATAGGAAATTAAAGATGGTCGCTGTGCTATATCGTGATATTTTGGGGATACCTGTCTGTGCCCTCAGAGCTAGTGCTTGTATACAAACTGGGACAGATCTTGATTACTAAATGCCTGGGTGTAGTTCTGTTTTGGTTGTAGGTGGCTGGAGTTCTGTAAGCCTCATACATCTGAATAGCATTTCCTTTTCCCATGTTTGGGGAGTTTTCCGTAATTATTTCTGTGAATAGCCTTTGCAGTTCCTTTGTTTGTACCCCTGCTTCTTCATTCACATTCTTTATTCTTAAATTATAGATCCACTTGTCGTCTTCTAGCCTTTGTATTGTTACTGCTTGTTTCCTTGTTATTTTTAAGAAATTTTTCCTTTCATGACCCCACATTACAAACCTGTCCTCCAGTCAGTTTGGAGAATCTATCCTTAGTTTCTTTCAAGCAGTTTTGCCAGCTTTCAATGGAGCTTTTAATTTCCTGGTAATCTCTTTGGATCTGCTTGATGTATTCTGTTTTGTCTATATTCTCCGTCAAATGGTTCCCCCCCCACCTTTTTGTTTCTCCATTCTTCCATCTGTGTCTTTTTGAGAGATGCTTAGCATTTGTTTTATTATTCTATTTAAGTCTTGCTTTACTTGGTTCAATATTTCACTTTTGAACTCGTCTATGAGGTCCCAAAGATATCACTTTATGTCCACTGGTGCCATGTCTGATATTGTGTTTGCCATCCTCAATCTCCTTTGCATTTACCTTTTCTGTATCAATGTTCTCAGGGCTGGGGACCTTTTCTTATTGCTTCCTCTTCTCATATTTTTTGTTCCTTTCATACAGGTGTATATAGGAGGCCCCACCCAGTTTCTTTCTTTGTTGGTTACAGTTCGCCTGAAGCGCACTGACTAGGTGCTCCTGCCCATTACAGTGTACTATGGAGGTACAAACAGGGGCAGCATAATGCAGGGCCCTCCTCTCTGGGTTAATGAACCTGCTGAGCACCTCACTGCATTAGGGTGCGCTGCCAGGTGTAGGTACTTGGTTTGGGGTAACCTATTGGATCTCAGCCCAGGGCACGACCCAGGTCAAGCTCACCCCACCAATCCTGCTTGAGAAGGGAGCAGCTGACTGAACTCACTGCTGTTCCTTGTTCTCACCAGTCTGCCCTGCCCAGCCCCAGAATGAATGTCGTCTGTTGGAGTCCCTTTTTCTGTGGATTGGTTTTATTCCCGTCACTCACCGAAGGTCAATGCAGGTTCCCCACCAGCCCAGCTCTCCATTCGGCACGCTGACCCCCAACCTCAGTGTCAGTGCATCTCCAGTGAGTTTGAAGCGGTGGGCTTTTGGTAGCTCAGTAAGTCTCGGCTGTGCGAGTTCAAGCACTGCAGCGGGAGCACCGAGCCTTTAGCTGTTCCAATGGTAGCACCGGGACTGTATGTTTAATGGGTTTCTCTCAGCTTGTGCCTGGGTCAGGTGGATCCATCTCCTTCTGTTTGGGACTCCCCATGCTGTATTAATTTTGGAGTCTAAGTTGACTACCTCAGAGAGCCTCTGTAGCCTGCTGTTATCTATTCACCATCTGTACTAGAACCCCTCTCCGGGTGTTGTGTGTGTGTGTGTGTGTGTGTGTGTGTGTGTGTGTGTGTGTGTGTACACACGTTTCTGTTGTTTATATAGTTGTGGCTGTTGGCAGTTGGTGTTGGCAATAGGGTCTCACCACTTAGTTCAGGTCAGCCTCAAACTCAATACATGGCCCAGGTTTGTACCGAAGTCACAGTAATGGGATTGCCTCAGGCCTCCTGGGTGGGGGATCACAGGCACGTGCCACTCCAACCCAGCTTCTGGCTAAGAACTTCTGACACAACCTCGAGGGAAGGTTCACAGACTTAGGCTGACTGAGCTTATTTTGAGACCCTGGCTTTCTCCAATTCAGTGTCTCATCATCCTTGGCCTCCAACTCCCTAGTGAGGGTTGGGATTACAGCCATACATACCACACTCACCCAACCCCACACCGCAGTACTCGAGCCCCATCACTCGCTGTTTCAAATGGAACCACACTTTAGGAAAGGATTTCTGGCAGTCTGTGCAGGATTCATTTCTATCCCATCATCGGTAATAACTGCTGCCATGGGTGGCAAGAGCCTTAGAGGATTCTGCCGCGAACCTTCAGAGGACTGCGAACCGCGTAATTTTGTTTGCTTGTTTGTTTTTGGTACAGGGGATCCTTTTATCATTTTTTATTTTTGAAAGACATACCTTTAGCCACACTGAACTGACTACTGTACCTTGTATAGTGGCAGCCATGGGTCAGTCGGTCAGTCTGTCCGTCTGTCAACGACTTGATTTAACTTTATTATTTTTGCATCTTGGGGGGGGAGTCTCTATATGCAGTTCTGGCTGGCCTCGAGCTCACTTTGTAGCCTAGGCTGATCTCGAACTGACAAGGCTCCTCCTTCCTCAGCCTCCCAAGTGCTGGGATAACAGGTGTGAGCCACCTCGCCCAGCTTAACTTCCTTGTTTTTAAATTTTGTTTTATTTATTTCTTTGTTTTTGTGGTACTGGGGATTGAACCCATGATCTCACGTTTCCTGTTTCCTAGGCTGCAAGAGCTTACAATACTGAGCTAAGTCCCTGGTGACAACTTGATGTGAAGAAAGTCTTTGAACGGTGGAGCCCACCAAGATGTGCCAGGCTTGCTTCCTTCTTTCCTCCCTTCTCGCCTTTCA